GCATAATAATCTAGATGGGGGAATAAAGAGCACCTTTAATGTGCAGATCTGTTTGCCCGAGTGAGTGACTCTTCACTCAGGTTACAAGAACAGTGTGTGAAAGTCCATGCATTTGCTGAGATAGAAGTAAAAAATTCTACATCTCATCCAGGCAGTTTGATTTTTGGGTAAGTTTGTCTAAATCTGAACAGGCATTCTTAGACAGCTGAGGAAGAAATGGCTTAGGAAGTAGTGAGAGTTGGCTTTTGGAAGAAAGTATGAAGCCTTCAACTTGATATAATATGGACATATTAATCTTCCAAAATTTTTCCTATTGCATGAATTTATTAAAACAATGGTGCATTGGATCTTTCAATTTAAAACTAACTGAGACTCTTGGACTTGTTAAAAATATATATATTTATACTTTTCCAGGATACATATGTCATTTTTGTCTTTTAAATGGTAAAAACTTGTATTTATGTAAACTTTTGCATTTTTTTAACCTACTCATCTACACCTAAGAATTTCTCATTTTGAGTTGCTAGTTGTTTGCTTTCACTGAATTTAAGAGAAACATTTTTTTTTAGAACATACTCAATATTTTATTTATTTATTTTTTTTGATAATATGTGGGCTATTTCTTTCTTTTTTTTTTAACAATTGCAACCCCTTTATTTTGACCCCCATCCCTCCCCCCCGCCCCCCTCCCCTCATAAAGTGTCTATGCAGGTTTATAAAAAGCTAGTGTTATCTGAGCAATATTAGAAAATTATCAATGAGAGATATGCTCGAGGAATTTATTAGGGTTATATGTGCTTTGAGTAGTGAGTCTCTGTTTTGTATTATTTTTTCCAGGGCAACTTCATTTATTCTCTCAGTTATGATCCATTTTGCCTCAGTTGGTCCTCCAATTGGAGAACTCCTATATCCTCTTCCTCTCTCATTTTTTTTAAAGCATGGGATGAAACGGGCCCGTGGTGAAGTGATTGGTCTGAAGTCAGTTCAGCCATGCTTTGTGATTTCCACCTTCATTCTCCCTCCTCTCGTGTAATGAAGATCTGTGGTGGATGGTGTGTGTGTGACATGGTGAGGCCTGACAGCCGGGAACAACAAATTGTAATTCATGAATTCTGATCCTACTTCTATTACTGAGGCCAATTATTTTAAGAGATTTGGACTTGATTCTAGCAATAACAGACAAATGCTTTATGTTTCAAAACAAATCTGTTTGCCCATGGAAAGTCAGAACATCTACTTGTGCAGAGCTAGAGAGGTTTGCTTTAAAAAAAAAAAACAAACTTTGGTTTACATCATTGGTTGTGTATCAGAAGGACAGGATCTCCCCCCTCAGGTGTTGTTACCCCACCAAGTCCACCCCCAGGAACCACGTCCACCACCATGTCCGCTGTGCTCCTCCGCACCTTGTGAGAGACATTTTATTCCCTCTTGTGTCTGAACTTTGTTAGTTTCTCTCCAGTTTCCCAGAGTGCACAGAAATATTTTTTAATTTTAAAATAAAAGTAAAACTTGTAATTCAGAAACCAGGTGTATAATCATAGTGAGTGTGGACGCCTAAGGGCAAGGGTTTAGAAATGCAATTAGATGATCCCACTGGCATCTTTTCTTTCAAATGGAGTTTCACTGACGTTATTGGAATTACAGCTGCAGATGAAATAATGAAGACTATCAGGCAAGTGTCAGGTGTTAGGTAAGGTCACTTGCCATTTGTAACAGATGGAGAGGATATGTAAGTCTTACTGTATATAACACATCTCACTCTATATAATATTTCACTGTATATTCATTCCATTTTTGTTGACGGTAAGGATTTGATTTTTAAAAAAACTTCCATCTTTCACCATTAGCATCACCTATATACTAACTAGCTGTCTCATAAATGGCTAGTTAGGAAAGTATAGGACAGTAGCTGTTTCCTCTGCTATTTGTCAATAACAGTACCTGCAAGCTTGGCGTTGTACCAGGGAACGCCACGTAATGGGAGATGATACTACTCACTCAATTCACAAAGATAAAAAAGAGCTTTATTTCCTTAATGCAAGGAACATACACTTGCACGATATTTGTGGGAAACAATAAAAGACAGAGAAAGCTTTTAAAGCACTGAACTAATTGGGCCCTATGGGGATCCATTTTTAATCTCTAATGGGAGAAGACATGGAATCTCACAACAACTCCAGTCAACAGCAATTCCATGCAAGCCACATTTGCATTTAAAAATTTTTCAATAGTGCCATTAAAAAAGTGAGAAGTGTGAAATTAAGTTTACTTATATATTTTAATCTCAATATATTCAAATATTACTTCAACATGTTTTAATTATAAAATTATTAATGAGATATTTTATATTAATTTCTCTTACTAAGTTTTATAAAGGCTGTGTGTATTTTATAGTTGTTACATGTTTTAATCAGATGAGCCACATTTGAAGGGATCAACATGTGGTCAATGTCCACTGCATTGGACAGAGGGGACATAAAAGTTTGACTGAAGATAGCAAAGAGTTGACTAGGCCAATGTCAAAAATTTGATAACAACTTTTATGTTGTTCTCGCTCAGTTCTTGAGTGGCTGTGCAGTTGGTCTTTTGTCTCATTACTTCATCAATCAGTTACTACATTTATAAATAAACTAAGTAGATAGAAACTAGATTAAGATAGAGAACATCAATTATATGCTTGGAAGATATGGCTCAGAGAAATATCCAGAACATTTGGTCATTTTTCTTCCTCATTTGAATGGATTGTAAAATGTTAATTAATTCTAATATTAATGTTATTATACAGTATTATTTAGTACTATAGATATTGGCAAAAAAAAAAATCTCATGAAAGGCTTTCTGTTATCTACCATCTCCAAAAATTTTCTCATGCATTCTTTTGCTTTTTAAAAAAGATTTTATTTATGCATACAAGAACTGGGGTACAGGCCAGAGGTGTGGGGCTTGAGAGGATTCACTAGAGACAGAGTGGGGAACAGAACAGGCAGACAGACTGAAATCCACTGCTGAGGGGAGCAGCGGGTGAGTCAGGAGAGGTCTGCTGCGCCATGTGAGTAGCTCCCTGGCCAGGGATCGAACTCAGGCCTCTGTGGTGGTCCTTCATGGTGGTAGTGCTGAACCTTAATACCTAGGCCACCAGGGAGGCCCATGTTCTCATGCATTCTATTCCAAAAGTAAAAAATCCTACTACTAGAGATTCATTTCTTTGTTTCATTTAATATGTCTGTATAAGTTATTCTGGTTGTAAAAGGCCAAAACCTGACAATTCAACAAAATTTGTCATGCAAAACTCTGACACGTTCTCAGTGCTGTGTATAAAACGAGAGTATCAGACATTTAAGTTTCTTTCCCAAGTAGAACATATAGTTGGTGGTAAGGGAGGGAGAAAATAGATAATTTCAAACTGTTAATTATTAGGAAGAAATTGAAAAAGACTGATATACATTGAGTGGTTGGATGACAGGAATCCTCACCAAAATTAGTGATCATGGGTGAGGCTTAGGAACAGGTGACCTTGTCCACAGTGACTAGATGCATCCAGAGCAGAGTGAAAGTAATTCTTTGCAGAGAATTTGCTGTTAAATGGAGCAGAAAACTGAAGTGCTAGGTAGTAATGCAGTGTGATAGGTTTTTTTTGATTTTTTAAAAAATCTCTCGTTTTTATTATATATATATATTTTACATCATTGTTCATTTTTAAACAATATATGCTTCCCCCCACCCCCTCAGGTGTCGTCCCCATAGAGTTTCCTTCCCCAAGGCACCCGTGCACCATCACCTCAGTCCCCTGGGCTCCTCCCTCCCTCCCCCTGATCCCTCTCCCTCCTCCTCCCCTGCAGGACGTCTCTGGTTTATAATTGTCTGATTTTGCTTCGTTGTGCAGTGTGATAGTTTTCAAATAAATTTTTATTTGGAAATAATTTTAAAATTACAAAAATTTTCATAATGAACAATTGTACCAAGAATTTATGACATTCAGGTATACCTAGTCCTATTTTACCCATTTGCTTTTGCTATTGATTGCTCTTCATAATAATTTCTTCCTTCCTTCCTTCCTTCTATAATTCACACACCATAAAAATTCACGACATATTTGAAGTCTCAGTACATGCATCTGACCCTTTACAGCTTTACCCTAACTATAATAGTTCAGTATGTATTTCTTAAGAACAGAGATATTTACTTGCAAAACCATAGTAATTCTCTCACCTATTCCTAAACCTCACCCATGATCACTAATTTTGGTGAGGCTTCCTGTCATCCAAACAGTAAAGCTAACACTGATAACAAAAATTTTGTATCACTGTCTATATTTCAATTTTGTCACTGATCCAATAATATACTTGGTTGAATTTTTTCTACTTCTTTCCAGGATCCAGTCTGAGTGGCAGGCATTGCCTTGAGCTGCTATGAATTGTTAGCCTCCTTTGGAACATTTGCACAATTTATCTTTTTTTTTTGAGATAGGTATTTTTGATAGAATTTAGTTTCCCTCCATCCCATTCTTTCAGTAGAATCTCCTGGGTTTGGGAATCTATGATCATTCCTTGTGATTAGATTCAGTTGCTCATTCTCAGCTGGAGTGTGAAATAGATGGAATGTTATTCTCAGGGTGATCCACCTGGTCATCAGGTCAAGGGGTCCAATTTCTCCACTGTATAATAACTGCACTTTGTAACCAATAAGAAATCTATATGTATGTTAAGACTATGCAAATACTCCATGACTTTGCTTCTTTTGATTTTATTTTTTTGCCTGATTCAAGGTTGTTCATATAGTAGACGACAAGTATAATTTGTGCCCAAACTGGTTCTACCTTCCCTGCGATAAATTTAGAGGACTTCGTGAAAGACGAATTTTCATGTTACAAAAGGAGCAGCTTGAGACTGAGTTTAATTTTGATTAAAGTCACTCTTTGATCCTGTCATATTTGGTATAACTCCTCAGATGCATTTTCTGTGGCATTTCTGTGAAGATTGGGCAAGAGTATGAAAGCAGTGATGAGAAACCATTCAGCAATAACAACGTTCATCATCCTGGGGTTGACAAGTGACCCACAGCTAGAGATTCTGGCTTTTGTCTTTCTGTTTATCACATATGTGTTGAGTGTGATGGGGAACCTGACCATCATTGTTCTCGTCTTCGTGGATGCGCATTTAAAAACCGCTATGTACTTCTTTCTGCAAAATTTCTCTTTCTTGGAAGTCTCATTCACTAGTGCCTGTGTCCCTGTCTACCTGTACATGATAGCAAGTGGGGACAAGACCATGACCATCAAAGCCTGCTTTACCCAGATCTTTTTTATTGTTCTGTTTGGAGCCACAGAGTTTTTCCTGTTGGCCGTGATGTCATATGACCGCTACGTGGCCATCTGCAAGCCCCTGCATTATGTGACCATCATGAACAGCAGAGTCTGCAGGATTCTCATAGTCTGCTGCTGGGTGTGTGGCTTCCTGATTATCCTCCCACCCCTCAGCCTGTCCCTCCATCTGGAATTCTGTGACTCTGTTATTGACCATTTTGTCTGTGATGCTTCCCCACTACTGAAGAATTCCTGTTCAGACACCTGGTACATAGAGCAGCTGGTTATAGTCTGTGCTGTGTTGACATTCATAATGACCCTGGTGTGTGTGGTTCTGTCCTATGTGTACATCTTTGGGATGATCCTGAGGTTGCCTTCAGTGCAGCAAAGGAAAAAAGCCTTTTCTACCTGTTCTTCCCACATGATCGTGGTCTCCATCTCGTATGGCAGCTGCATTTTTATGTATATCAAACCCTCAGCTAAGGATGAAGTGGCCATTAATAAGGCAGTTTCTCTGCTTACTACATCTGTTGCTCCCTTAATGAATCCTTTCGTTTATTCCCTGAGAAATAAACAAGTAAAGCAGTCTTTCCATGACACCCTCAAGAGACTTGCATTTCATTCCAAGAAGTAGTAGGATACTGAGAACTCAAATTAAAATGAAAAGGATCCATTGGAATATGAATAGAAACTGAATCTATAAGAGTGACCTATGGTAGTCCTCCCTGTCTTCATTTTGCTTTTCTTGGTTTCAACCTGATCAGATGTGGTCTGAAAATATTATGTACAATAAGGTATTGAGAGAAGAGAGAGAGAGAGAGAGAGAGAGAGAGAGAGAGAGAGAGAGAGAGAGAGAGACATCTATGTAACTGTTATTGTAGTACATTGTCATATTGTTCAATTTTATCATTAGGTATTGTTGTTAATCTTTTACTGTGCCTAATGTATAAAGTTAATAATTGCTCTAATAACTTCTTTTAATAATTGCTCTAATAACTTCTTTTAAGTGCCAAAATTTTGCTAATAGTGTTTTCCTGTCTAAATAAAGTGCTCTGTCTAATAATGGTTTTCATAGAAACTGTGACCCAAGATTACAGTATAACTTTATCCTGGGAACTCACTAGATGTGTTCCAGAAAAATTTGCATAATGAATATTGATCATGAACTGAACATTCTTTCCCTTCTCAGGAATAAAAATTTCTCTTTCTTTTTATCATGATGTTCATACTAGGTCTATCAAAATAGAAATCAACCACAAAAGAAAGCTGAAAAAAACCTTTAATGTGAGAAGACTGAACAACACATTACTGAATGACTACTGGGTTAATGAAGAAGTCAAAGAAGAAATGAAAAAAAAAATACCTCAAAACAAATAAAAATGAGGACACAGCTGATCACAAAACAGGCCACATCAAGAAACAAAGAGACTTTAACTAAATAACATTATCTCTCACCTAAAGGAACTTGAAAAAGATAAACAAACAAATCCAAAAGTCACTAGCAGGAAGGATATAATAAAAATGAGAACAAAATAAATAAAATAGAAATAAAACATATAGTCCAAAAGGTTAATGACAACAAAAAATGTTTTTTTGAAAAAATAAACAAGAGACAAACATCTAGCTAGGATCATAAAGAATACATCTATTCATTGGGAAAATCCAATGAATAGAACCAGAAATAAAAAAGAAGTTGCAGCAGACATCTCAGAAGTTCAGAGAATGATAAGATTTCTATGAACATTTATGCTAGTAAGTTGAATAACATAGAAGAGCTATAGACATTCTTAGAAATCAGGAAGAAACATTGACAGAAAACCTAAACAGAACAATTAAAAGCAAGGAAATTGAAAAAGTAATCAATGTCTCCCCAAAAACAAAAGTCCAGGCCCAGATAGTTTCACTAGTGAGTTCTCCCAAACCTTCAAAGATGAGCTAATACCGATCCTCATATCTGGCTCCAAGCCACTGATCTACATTCAGAAAAAAGATGAAGAGGGAGGAAGCAACACAGTTAAGAGTGGATCTGAATCTCCTTGTTCATAACTTAATCATCAATGGACGTTTACTGGGGATAAAGGTAGAGGAAAAACACTATTTTCTCAGGTCTCATGCTCTTGAGGCTCTTATGTTCCCTCTTAAAGAGAAAAAAATAAATGATACTCACGTTGCTCAGAAGCGATATGGGCATGGAAGGGGAGCTGGGAGACATAGACGGAATAATACGGGCTTCATAGTCAGAATAACATGGGTTTTGTATGCTTTCAATTTCCCAAGGAGATTCATGGCCTAAGGCTTCTAACCAAAGCTTGCTGAGAGCTTAGAAAAAGTAGGAAAACCAAGGCTACTTCAAATAATTAGAAACATTTAGAAATGTGAAACTACAAATCAGTCAGAGGTTGTGTTGTTCAGTTTAGCAATTAAACTCTGGTACTAGCAGATTTTGTTATAATTCTTGCTGAGTCCCTCATCTGTGTGACATACAAGTGATTTCATCTCTTTAAGTTTCAGTTTCTTCATTTGTAAAATAGGGTGGAATTTCCAGGTGGATTTAAGAACCCCTCTATGAGGCACAATTTGCTAATTCATTGTTCTCAGTATAAAAACCCCCACATGATTAAATTTCTTCACTTAAAAAAAAATTCACTTCTGCGCGCCCTCCGTCATTTGTCCATCTAGCCACACATTAGAACTGCGTGCATTTAGCAAGGAATCACTGAGCACCTGCCATTGCTTGGCATTGTAGATGGAATTATGATTAAGGAGATATTATCCCCGCACTTCTAGATCTTACAGACCAAAGGTGAATACAAATTTTACCACTATAACCATTACCTCTATATGCTAGCTGTGAGAAATTACACATATAGTAACGAGAAACCAGACGGAACATAACGTGAATGTTGTTTTTATGTTTCTCCACTCTTGAAATTTCATTCTAACACTCCCTAACTTTTTGGCTCCCACACACTAGTATCCCACTTCACTCTGACTTCTTCCTACTCCACTGCCAATTTCCTGAAAACGACTGAGCCCATCAACACTCTAATCGTCAGTATTCATACTTTTATTCTTCATATCAGTTGCTCTCTGCAGCATTTCACACTGCCATATTGTAAGATATTCTCTTCCTCTGAATTCTACAGATCTATCACCTTTCTTATCAGCCCTTCTACCTCTTTAAATTTTGGAAGTTTGCTTAAAATTTGATATTTGAGTTTCTTCTATACTGGCTTCTATGCATGACCTCCTCTGTTCCCATAGCATCAGTTACCATCTACATGGTGAGGATTGCTGAGTTCATTGCTCTGCTTCTAAATCCAGATGCCTTGACATTACGGCCATTTAATTTATTTAAAGTGGGATTTAACTTAATTTGAAACTAAATTTATAGTTTCCACAACTTTCTCCTTTTCCCTTTTTATTTCACTGAAATTTATGACTCAGTCCTGTTGGACTGAAATTTTGTGCTTCTACCAATTGCCTTTCTCCCTTAATTCCTCTTCCTATATTTTCACCTGCTTCACTTATCCTTAAGACACAGTTTCAATGGCATCCTTTCTGAACATTTATTGACTTTAACTTAGATGGAATTGCTTTTTTATTTATAAAATCCTAATCCCTTCCTTATATTACCACTGAACAGGATGCAATTTATTTATTTCCAAAATGCTCTCACTGACCTGGAGTTTGACTCTGTCAGTCTAGTGACTGACATAGTAATGACTCATTCATTTAATTTGAATTACTTAAAGATTCACAAGTTTTTTGATGGTATCCTTGAAGGCTTGTTTCACCTGTTGGTTCCTTAGTGTGTAAATGAAGGGGTTTAACAAAGGTGCAACTGAAGTAATGAGTAGAGCTACACCCTTGTTAAATGTGCTCCCATCTTTTGCTGAGGGTTTAATATAAATGAAGAGGCAGCTTCCATAAGAGAGGGAGATGACAATCATGTGGGAAGAACAAGTGGAAAAGGCTTTTGACCTTTGCTGGGCAGAGGGAAGTTTTAGAATAGTCTTGATGATGAATGTGTAGGACAGAATCACCAACAACAGAGTGACCACCAGGGTCACAGAAGCCACAAGAAAGACAACCTTCTCTATAAGTCTTGTGTCTGAACAGGAGAGTTCGCGAAGGGGTTCATAGTCACAGAAAAAATGGTTCAGCTTGTTGGATGCACAAAAGTCCTGCTGACTCATCATAGTGATTGGTGGTACAATAACCATTAATCCGGCCACCCAAGAACAAAGGACCAGCCGGATACAGACCCTGTTGCTCATGATGGTGGTGTAGTGCAGGGGTTTACAAATGGCCACATAGCGATCATAGGACATGGCTGCCAGAAGATAAAATTCCGTGGACCCAAGGAATATAGCAAAGAAATACTGAGTGAAGCAGCCAGCAAAACTGATAGTCTTATTCCCTGTTGTGATGCTGATCAGGGCTCTCGGGATGAAGATGTTTGTGAAGGAGATTTCTAAGAAGGAGAAGTTCCGAAGAAAGAAATACATGGGAGTCTGAAGGTGGGAGTCCAGCAAGGTGAGGATGAGGATGGTCATATTTCCCATGATGCTGAGAATGTAGCTAAGGAACAAAAAGGAGAAAACCACCCCCTGGAGTTCAGGGGCATCTGTTAGACCCAGCAGGATAAACTCAGTCAACATAGTTTTATTTTTCATTATTGACAAAAATGGGAGTCTCAGAGTAAAGAAGAGATAGTAGTAAAAGCTGAGTAAGAAAGAGGTACTCTGAAGTGGACAGGTGAAATCTGAAGAGGGCGAAAGGAAATGGAACATAAACTTTTCCATTGATGACATAACTTGGGTCAGTTGCCCATTTGTGTAGCTCTGGATCCTTCCAGCCCCATTTGCCCTGAAAAGAAAAACTCTTGTTATTATTTCCCCAGATGGTGTAGGTTTCCCCCACTATCCAAAGGTAGAATGTTCTTATTTGGTATGATTTTGTAGGTTTTTATTTTTGGTCTTAGAATGTAAAATTTTTTTCCATATAAATTAATGGTGATAGCTTCTTAGAGTTTTCAAAATTTTGCTTTTCCATAAGGATAGGAGATTCAACTGTATTTCAGAAGAAATTTAGAAACTTGAGAATAAGGTAGGAGCTCTTAACTGGGGATCTATCAATTCCTATATTGAATTTTTCATGTAAAAAAGAAGCCACTGAACCATGTGTAAATCATTTTGTACATGTGAGTATAGAAAGTTTTGTGGGGAAAGCACATGAAACTATGACCCAAGGTCTTCAAGGGACTTCAGAGTTAAGCACTTCAAAGACATTCGAGTCTACTAATTTGTGAGCTGAGAGTCACACTTTGTGGGAGCATATTATCAAGACTTTTTCTATTGTTTTCTAAACATGCAGCAGCTGTCAAGCATTTTTAACATTTCTACATTTTACATTCTACATTTTTTGTCATTTTCTGGCAAATATATATATATAACTTAAACAGAAATTCTACAGAATACTTTATAACTTGTGCTCTGATTTTTTAAAACTTAATTTATTCTACTTAAAATTAAAAAAAAAAAGTTCCTATAACCCACTAATGGGTTGCAGTCCATAATTGGAATCTACTATCAAGAAAAATTGACAAAGCTCAGATGTCCATTTTCTCCTGGTTACCAACCTGGCATCTTCAGGGAGTGGCTGGGTATTCTCGTCTGCTTCAGTTTCAGGCTTCACAACCACGGAGACTAAAATTCGTGCAGCTGTAAACTAGGAGCATCCTTTCTCACTTATCCAAAGGATTATAGTGGGATTTTAGTCCTAAATATTTTTAGTGAATAAAAGTTGTGAGGCCACATAATTATGAAATAATATAAAATTTATTGCATTTTCTACGTTATCTGCCACCACGTTCTCACTGTACTTCATAGAGATAACAAAAACACCTACGGCTTCTCTTGATAAGAAGTAGTTTGCCCCTTATCGTTTTGTGGAAACTGGCTTATTTCTGTTCTTTCACCAATTCATACTGGAGTTGAATCAGTTTTTGGCTATTCTGTCTTTTTACAGCAGAGCCAATAAATAGGAGGTGAAAAGAAGGGCTTGGAATGAGAGAATAGTCCTGGATTTTTCTTTTCAGGAGAAATGAGGCTGATGAGCTGAGGAGGCAGAACATGAACTCCCCGCCCAGCCCGGGTTATACCTACCCAGAGCGCCGCAGGCTACACTCGCCCCACTGAGAATGCGCACAGGGGAATCAACTGAGCGAAGAAGCTCCAGTTGCTCTGGGGATTCTTGTTTGAAGCAGGCTAATGAATGTCCTTTGTTGACAACTTTGGGAACAAACTAAATATTTACCTGGGGACGAAGGTCCAGAGAGATTAGCTTGGAGGTGGTGGTGGTGGTGGTGGTGGGGCTTGCAGGAGCACCTTGGCGCTGGGGGGAGGAGTATGGAGGCCTGGCACCAGCTTGTCCGGATGTGGCCATAGGTGGACTTGGTCTTGGGCCAGCAGCTTAAGTGGAACTATTTGCAGGTCCTGAGGTCTGGAAAAGCCACATTTTATAAACATTTCTAGTCTGGTGAAATTAGCCAGTTATAGACCCTGGCTGGAGACAGGAAGCAGTGATTTTCATTCTTCGGCGCGCACATACAGACATGAGATGGAGAACAGAAGGGGAGTGGCCAGATCGGGCGGGCCACCCATCTTGGCCTGAGAGTCACCTCTGAGAAATCACAAATTTCCAGCTTAAGGCAGTGAAGAAATCGTCAGGATATGTATGCATTACCTGGGGTGAGGGCCATTCTTGGCTCTCCAAACACACATTCGCATTCGCCTTACCTATTTCTCAGTAGAAAAAAAAGCGCTGGTAAAACCAGTGTTTGTCTTGGAAACAAATTGCCGGAATTAGGAACAAAATATTGCTTACACAAACTATCTTACAAATGTCTTCCTCATCCATCATTTCATGTAATTCTCACAACAGTGATGGAGCTCAGAATGTGGTCTGACCCAACGCAACACAACCATCAACTCCATCGTGAATGACGCAAGAAACTTAGCCTTTCTCAGTCTCACTTTGCTGTTCTGTACAGTGGGGACCAAAATGCCCATTAAATAGAATCATAATTGGTGAGGGTGTAGATAGCACCTACAACATGGTATGTGTCCCAGAAATAGTTCTCATTTTCACTTTCTAGTGAAGAAATTACTATAAAACTGTATTTGGCAATAGTTTCGTTGTACCTTTACAATTTATTTATATCTGAGGGAAGAAATCCTATACTGTGAAAAAATTAACAAGCATGTAATATATACAAACACACATTATATATATATACACATGTACTTTATATATATATATATATAAATTTGTTTATAGAGAAGAAAGTCCATCTCACCACTAGAAAACATTTGACGCTAGCAGATGCTAAGTAAACACATAGCATGCTAAGTAAACACTTAGTTTAGAGAATTTCCCCCCTAAGGATTCATTTTTCTTTAGAGGAAAGGATAGCAAAAGAAGAAAGTTGAGTGACTCATTGGGGAGTCAGTCAGTCTAGGCTGCAAATTTGGGAACAAGGATCAGCAAAAATAAGAAGAGGAAAACTAGAGGTGGAAATCTGCTCAGGAGGATATTCATTGAGGAAATTATTTCATAATGAATTATTTGAAAAGTTATGCTGCCTCCTAAAATTTAAAAAGTACCTAGATTGTGTGATAAGGAAATGGCCGAAGTAAATGTGGCTGATGGAAGACTGTTATTTTTGAAACCATAACTTTTAAAAAATTTTTATTATTTTTATTTTATATATATATATTTATTACATCATCCTTCATTTTTGTACAATGTATGATTTCCCATGAAATTCCTACCACCAATTCACCCGGGCATCATCACCATAGACCCTTGTGCTCTTACTACCCCTATCCTGATCACTGTCCCTTTTCCTCCTCCACAGAATGTCTCTGGTCTATGGATGCCTGTTGATTTTTATTTTTACTTTATTATTTTTTCCCCCGATCCCTTATTTGGTTCCTCTACATTCCTCCTATAAGTCAAACTATCTGATATTTTCTGATATTTTTTCTTTGTCTTTCTGGCTTATTTTGCTGAGCACAATCCCTTCCAGCTCCATCCATGTTGCTGCGAATGGCATAAGTTTATCCTTTTGGATTACTGACTAATATCCCATTGTGTATATGTACCACATCTTCTTGATCCAGTCCTCTATTTTTGGGCATTTGGGTTGTTTCCATAGCTTAGCTATTGTAAATAGTACTGCTGTGAACATAGGGGTGCAGGTGTCCTTTTGAATTAATGTTTTGTGTTGTTTGGGTAGATACCTAAGAGTGGAATTGCTGGATCATCTGGAAGCTCCATTTTCAGTAGTTTGAAGAAACTCCATGCAGCTTTCCATAGAGGGTGGACCAGTTCACACTCCCACCAGCAGTGTAGTAGAGTTCCCTTTTCTCCATATCCTCACCAAATTTGTTGTTGCTAGTTTTTTTTTTTTTAATATGTGCCATTCTTACTGGTGTAAGATGGTATCTCATTGTGGTTTTGATTTGCATTTCCCTGATTATGAGTGATGTTGACCATTTATTCATATGCCTGTTGGCCATTTGCATTTCCGCTTTGGAGAAGTGTCTTTTTAGCTCTTCTGCCCATTTTTTGACCGAGTTGTTTGCTTTGTTTTTGTTGAGTTTCATCAGCTCTTTGTAGATCTTTTTTGATTTTATATTTCTCTAGGTTGATTGTTAGGAATTTGAAACCATGTTTTTTATATTCCTATTATTAATGCCCAGCATATCACTTAAAACATAGCAGACAATTAATATCTTAATTAAAATATTTGTTAATTAAATTTCTAGTGATTGAAAATAGTATATTTGGATGATTAAAACTTTATAATTTTTTGTACTGTGTTCTTAAATGCTTGCTTCACCTGATGATTCCTTAGAGTATAAATAAAGGGGTTCAACAAGGGGCTAATTGAAGTCATGAGCAAAGATATTTCCTTGTCAAAGTTACCTTCTTTCTTTGGTGATGGGTTAATGTACAAGAAGATGCAGCTGCCATAAGAGAGGGAGATGACGATCATGTGGGAGGAACAAGTGGAAAATGCCTTTGTCCTTTGCTGAGCAGAAGGGATCCTCAGGATAGTCCTGATAATGTATATGTAGGAAAGTGTCACTAGCACCAGGGTAACCACCAGAGTCAAAAGAGCTAGGAAGATGACTACTAATTCTAGGAGTTGTGTGTCTGAACAGGCGATCTTTAGGAAGGGTCTAAAGTCACAGTAATATTGATTCAACACATTGGAGGCACAGAAATCTATCTGTCTCACCATGATGAAGGGGGGTAAGATGGACAGGAGTCCCCCCAGCCAGGAGCAGAACACGAGTAGTATGCAGACCCGGCTGCTCATGATGGTCAGGTAGTTCAGGGGTTTGCAGATGGCCACGTAGCGGTCATAGGACATAGAAGCCAGGAGGTAAAACTCTGTCCCCCCAAGCATAATAGCAAAAAAATACTGAGTCAAGCAGCCAGCAAAGCTGATGACTTTATTTCCTGTTACCAAGCTGGTCAAAAGTCTGGGGATAAAAATGGATGTGAAAGAAACTTCTAAGAAGGAGAAATTCCGGAGGAAGAAATACATAGGAGTCTTAAGTTGAGGGTCTACCAGAGTCAGTATGATGATGGTTAGGTTCCCTAGGACACTTAGCAGGTAGGCAAGGAACAGAAAGATGAATATCACCACTTGGAGTTCAGGTTGATTTGTGAGACCCTGCAAGATAAACTCAGTAAATGCGGTCCTGTTTTTCATTGTTGACCTTCAGTAGATCTAAAGGAAAAAGAAAAGGTTGGTGATGAGAACCAAATTTCCAGGGTAGGAGTAATGAAGTTAATTGCAACCCAGCACAATCAGGTCCTACTATCACCCTTTATTCAGTTGGAGAAACCAGTGTCCAATTGGAAGGGGCTTGGTTCTTCAGAAGTCCCAGGTCTTCTGTGCTAGTGGATTATTCATAAAGCCCTTTCATTTCTCCTTGTTGACCTATTTTGGATTCTTAGCAAAGATATGTCACCAAGAACTACCCTGCCTTTACCTGTCACTTCATATGAGATTTTTATAAATTTCACATATTTAAATCTTTTTCTGACTTCATTTACTATTTCTATTTCTGTGTTCTGGGTAGGAAGCTTCCTTCTGTGTCCTTCCTATATTTCCTGATATTTCACCACATATCTGTACGTGATCTTCAACTCCTTCATAGTCTAAATTCCTGGTTTCCTCTTTAAGTGTCCTGTGAAAATTCTCCCAATCAGACAATGCTATAGGCCCCAAATCTAAAATTGACTTTTTGTTACTCATATTTCTCAAGATGAATGTCTATTTGGCCTTTAGGATCCTAAGACTGTTTCAGTACTCTCACTTTATACTAGCAGCCTTTTCCTATGGCCAGGGCTCAGCTGTCACTAAATAGTATTACTAAGTACTAAGCCCCGTGATTCTTGGCCATATTCAGAATTGTCTGGGTACTGATTTGACACACCACTGGGAACTGATATAGTGACGATCACAGGGCATAGCTCTCAGAATGGATTTTGGTTAATGATTTGAAGCCTCTGAATGGCATCTGTTAATTAGTTATAACCTCATACTTGTGTTTTCACTATTTTCTTAGAACATAGTGTGGGAAATTGACTCCAGTACTGTTGCATAGAGCTGTCCTTTCTAGATAAACTCTTGGTCCACAAGAAACGAATTTTTGACAGTAATATATTTTTTACCATCTAATGGTGGCCTTATCTTACTATGGAGATGTCTGTAGCAGAGGACATCTGTAACTTGCATGTGCAGTTAGAAAAATCATAGAAAACCCATGACTTACAATGACTTTACTTATATTTTGACTTTACAATGGTGTGAAAGAGTTCTGAGCATCCTAAGGTAGTCTGTGTTAAGTATGATGTTTGGTAGATGAGCTGTATTAAATGAATTTTTGATGTAATATTTTCAAACAATGGGTTTACCAAAATGTAACCCCAGTGTAGTTGAGGAAGATCTATATTCTCAGGTGTCGTTGATACTCTTCCTAGGACAACCATATATGAATTCTAAGGAACAAGGTAAGTTTAAGCCTTGACTTGATTTTCTGTGTCTGTCACTTTCCTGGTTGGACTCACCTGTGATCTTTAACAGTTGCTTTGCTCTTCTAGCTTTTCACAATTGTATAATTTCATGGTCCATGTCCACAGAATATAACCTCAGTGATTTTGGAAGCTGGAAACATGAAGTCCTCAGATTCTTCACAATCTGAATCACTGTGTTGTCTGTTATTGATTCTGAAAGAGGACTCAAAGGGGAGGTGTCTTATGGGAGACTTCAATAGTAATACATTAGGGTATTTTCTATATGCTATTTGACCACATCCTGCCGTGTTCTTTTCATGGAAGAACCCAATCTTATAAGGTTTATCTAAAAAAAGAAGTGAGTTGTTCTCTTCCTATTAGAACAAATTTTACTGAAGAGGAGCTAAAAAGCAAACCAAAGAATTTTTTAAAAATAGGAGTGATCGCAATAAGATAGAGGACTTATAAAATTGAAAATTCCCTGTTTCCTGATGGGTGCGAGAATATGTTCCTATCTTTAGAAGCCAGGATATGGACTTTTAGGTAGATTCTTAGTTAGCAAGAGTGAACTATGACACAGATTGTATGTAATCTTTTGAGAGCAGGAAACTGGGATCAGCTTCCCGAAGAAGCTAAAGGTGTACTGTAGATGCAAGCTCGGGAAGAAACACTAACATCAATTGTTGACAATTTTGTATGCAAATTGTGAACACAGACAGACTAAATTAAAAGTGCAATAAGAGAATTAGCTACTGCCTTGCCTAAGAGTTGGAGAAGCTGAGAGCAGTGGGGTAAGACCCTTGAAGATGGTTAGAAAAATGATCACTTTGTCATCATGGATCTCTGTTGCTGCATTGGTGACATGATTTGAGAATTATTGAAGAGCCCCACATTCTAAAAATATTTCATAAATTATTTTTCTAGAAGGAACACAATTCTGAATTGTTATATTTGTAGGAGAGTAGGTGACTGAATATATAGTACTTGCAAGTTCACGAGCAATCAAATCACCTCCCAAATTAAGATTAAATCACCCTTCCACCAGCCACCTCCAAATATAAACATATATTATATCATATTACCCACTATTTGGTATTGTAGGAATGAAAGTACAAAGATCATAATGAAAAGGGAAAAAAAGACTTGCTGTTAAAAGCTTTGCTTTGGATAGAGATTTGCATTCTCAGAAGTTTTAAAAGACCATGCTCATTCTTAGAGCCTAACTCTCTTCAGCTTAGCCTCGTGTTCCATTTGTGTCTGTTCTGCTTTTAGGTAGGAGTTATGAACTAGAAAGATGACATTGAATCAGAAGTTTTTCAATAATGAGTAGCCACGTAGAAAACAATAGCAAATAAAAACTGGTGCAGAGAAAATAGTCTGTAATGAAAGCTCTCAGTTCTAACATCTTTGAAAGTTAATCACAAGGTGCATGTTGCAAATAACCTGTCAATTGTCATTGGAACTTGTTAATAAGTGGAAAATAAAGATTGTGTTTTTCAACATTATGCCCTTATGCTATAACTAATTGACTTATTTTCCCTTAGATACAAGACACATTAATGATTCCTCATGATCCTTTTATATTACAGAGCAAATAATTTAACATTTCATTAAATATTGATCTCTCTCTCTCTATATATAAAATCAATAGCAATACTTCGACCAAGAACATTTACTGAAAAATCAAGGATAATGACTTACATAAATAATGCTTATTAAGTGCTTTCTATTTTTTTTAAAAGCAGGAACAGTCTGTTACATGCATTGAATTATTTAGTAATCAGAGAAGTCTTTTGAACCAGATTATATATTAATCTGCACTTACAAAAGAGAAATTTTCACTAGATTCAATTGCTTATATTTATAATTTTCCCACTTTAAGTATGGGTGCTTAATATAGTTTATTATTGACTTCTTTTAAACTTTATAAAAATGGGATTACCTTGCATGCATTCTTTCATATCTTGCTTCCTTTATTCGGTTTTACGTTTAATATTCATCTGTTGTGTTGCTTGCAGCTGCAACTCCTTCATAATTGTTATAGTATTCCATTGTATGGACTTATCACAGTTTGTCTATTCATTCAGTTGATGGAAAGCTTTCTCATTTGGGGGAAATAGTGAGATGTACACCTATACTGACTCTTGTCTGAAATTTTGTTTATGAAATCTATCCAGAAGTTGAATTGCTGGGTTATTGGGTATGTGTCAATAACATTAGCGGCAAACTGATTTCAAAGTGGTTGAATCATTTCTTATATCATAATTCCCGGTGTATCAATTACTCTCTGCTCCATAGCCTCTCCCTCTGATGGTTCAGATTGTTAATGTTTACCTCTTTGATGGCTATAAAGCAGAACACATATGATCTTAATTTTCTTTTCTGTGGTTACGAGTATAGGTGAGGAATATTCTTTATCTCTATTGGCCGTTTGTATATTTCTTTTTTGAGATTCCTGCTCAAGTTTCTCATTCATTTTTTAAATTGTATTGTCAGTCTTTTTGTTACTGATATATTATATTTCTTTATAGATTCTGAATATAATTACTTCTTGGGTTGTCTGAGTTGCACCATCTTCTATTTTTCACTCTGTGATGTTTTTTGATGAAAAGATTCTTAATTTTAATGCAGTTAAATTGGTTTAGTTGTGTATTACTGTATCAGCACTATATTATCTCCCCCAGAATATAATATATACAGGAATCTCCCCCTGAGATATTATACTAGCAAAGTTTTAGAATAATTATTCACCTCTGGTAGAGTAATTCCCTCATTTTGTTATTCTTCTTTTGGTTCTTTGTAACTCACTAGATATATTGTTTGTCAACATTTGCAAAAAATATCAAATGGGATTTTTATTGAGGTTGCATTGAATCTATAAAAAACTTGTGAAAAGTGATATCTTTAAGACACTGTCTTATAGCCCATAAATGTGGTACATCTACTCATCTCTTTAGATTTTTAAATGCCTCCAAATAAAATTTTATATTTTACTCCAAGAAGATTTACATATATTTAATCATAACTGTCTGACATTTAAAATGTGATCTTTTTCAGTTTCATATTCTACTGATTTATTTTTGACATATAGATAACACATTTTATTTTTGTATGTTGATGTAAACAGTAACTTTAAATGGAAACTAAGTTATTAAAACTCTACTTCTATCTGATTTTTAATATTTATCTCTATTAGTTTGATCTGGAATGTGTGCATGAAATGTTATAGATCAGAAACAAATTCTTATTAATCACCCTTAGTAAATAATAAATGTATTGGACCCCTCTTGCTCTAAGTCTTACCACTGGGATGATGTGATGAGAGCCGGGTCAGACACCTAGTACACCCTCAGGAAAGGGGCAAGGAAAACGATTCTTCTCTGTTTATAAGGGAAAAGAGCAGCTGTCCCCTCCCTTCCAGAAAAGATCTTACTCTAATGGCTACTTTAGCCACTAGGTATGTAAATTTCTCCAAGAGCTAGATAGGCCCTTGTGTGTCTTAACTTTTACATTTTAGAGATGTCCCCAAGTTTTTGAGGCTTATTCCTTCTTGAAATATAGATACTTAGGGAGATAGTCCTAGTCTTCCTGGCACCTTGGGGTTTCACCCAGGGACTGTCTGTGATTGTAACCATTTGACTCTCTGGGGGAGATAAGAGAAATATTACTGTATTTTTGCATTAGAGTAATTAACTAGATAAATGACTATAGATCTAATTCCCAGGGCATGTGAAGAGCCTTAGGAATCTAGGGTTTTTTACAGAAACAACGAAAAAGGGAGACTTTTTATACCTGCGTTTGTCTGTGACCCTTATATGTATATATGTTTAATATAGATTTATAATTGTATTGTATACTATATATAAGTGCATATATGTGTACTTACATACAATATTATCAGTCAATAGTGATCTTTTGATTCATCCTTTTCAATACTTATAACTTTGATTTATTTTCCTGCCTAACTTCACTGATTAAAACTTGCATTTAAAATACTAAGTAGTTGAGGGAAAGCTTCCATGCTTCCTTATTTTGATTCAAACGTCAACAGAAATAATCCAACCTTCAAACATAAAATATGATTGCAATAGATTTAAAGAAAATCTTTGCTGCTGAATCCAAGTGTTTAATTTTTATTTTTTTAAAAATAAGTTTTATTGTTTAGAACAGTTTTCGATTAACAGAGAAGTTAAGATGATATAATGGGAACTCTCTAGTTCCCAGGTACCCTATGTCCAGTTTCTCTATTATTAACATCTTTTACTGGTATGGTAAATTTTTTATGATGCAAATGGTACATTTGGGATTGAGCCAGTGCTTCTATTATATGATGGGAGCAGGGAAAACTGTGTGGCACTCGGGTAACATACTTAACTGCCATTAATAAAGTGGGGCCATTTGATCATGCGTCAGGAACATGGAGGCAAGGAGTAGACAAATATTTTCTCTCTCTGTCTTTTTACCTATTTTATTTTACATATGGTTTTACCATTTTCAACACCTAAAAAGCATTATGAACTTTAACTATATACCTTACATTTTAATTTAAATATATACCTACTTACCTTCATAACAATCTTGTATTATGTGCTCTTTCCCTCATCTTACCATTTACATAATGATCATGTCTCAAACAGAAAGAATTGCTAATACCAGAGTTTAAGGATGGTGAGATGACAAAAGGAGAGTCACACTGATCAAGGATCCTTGATAAGATGGGGATAGATGAATTTTGTCTGCAAGATAACTTTTGAGAGAATGAATTAAGAGCTTTCTTTTTTAACTTTTATTTCTTGGAGTCTTAACCTATTGAGAATACAGCACAAAGATTAAAAAGAAATTTTGTGATGGCTCCTTAAAAAATCTAAAATAAAACTCCTTACGATCCATTTATCATGTTTATGGATATTTACCTGAAAAATACAAACATATCAGTTCAAAAAGATATATGCCTCCCCAATGTTTATTGCAGCATTTTTTACAGTAAGCATGTGATAGAAACAACCTAAGTGCCCACTGCCAGATGAATGGATAAAGATATGGCACATACACACACACACACACACATACACACACACACACAGTGGAATACTATACAGCAATAAAAGATGAAATCTTACCATTTGTAACAACATGGATGGACTTAGAGGTATTATGCTTTGTGATATAGGCCTGATAAAGCAAGACAAAAACCATAAGATTTCACTCATTTTTATTATATTTAGGTTTTTTCCTGGTCCCTTATTTAGGTTTTCTAAATTCCTGCTATGAGTGAGACCATCTGGTATTTTTCTCGTTTTTTTCTGGCTTATTTCACTGAGCATGCTCCCTTCCAGCTCCATCCATGTTGCTGCAAATTGCATGAGTTTATCCTTTTTGATTGCTGAGTAATATTCCACTGTGTATATGTACCACATCTTCTAAAAACCTAATTATCGTAAAGTAAAAATCAAAATCAACAAGCAACTATAAACCAGAGACATACTATGGGTGGTGGGGGAGGAGGGAGTAGGATCAAAACAAGCTGGGTGGGAATTGTATGGAGACTATAACCGTAGCAGCTGATAAGAACTGGATGCACATCCTATTGCTCACGATGGTGCTGTAGTGTAGGGGCTTATAGATGACCATGTAATGGTCTGTAGTGGCAGGAAGGGCCAGAGCAGGATCACTGTGACCCTATGCAGACAGGTAAAGGAGAGAGAGTCCTGAAGCCCTTGGTGGCTTTTTTAGGCTTTTATTGAGTTTACCAGGTACACAGAAGGCAGGAGTGTTGGGGGGCTAGGAGGCTGGCAGGCCCCCCAGCTCTTGGTGAATCTTCACTCTTTACTGAGTTCTCTGGTGTTGTCTTGTGGTCTCTGCTTCTCTGCTGGTTCCATCCACTCTCTTGCTTGTTCTCCTGCTGGTTCTGTTCCTCTGGCATCCCCATGACGCCATCCTGATGAGCCTAGTCTCTCAGCCCAGGTGTACCCAGCTATGCATGCCCACACCCAACTCCAGGTGCCCGCCATAAGGCATGCATTCAGGACTGCAGGGATCCATCATCAACGCTAATGGTGGGAGGGCAGAAAAGCCTGACAATCCTTTACTCTACACGGTCATAGGACATGGCAGCCAGGAGAAAAAACTCAGTCACACCCAGAAAATAACACAAAACAATTGAGTTGCACATGCATTGTAGGTGACAGTATTGTCCCCAGATGCCATTGTGTAGAAGAATGCAGACAGTTGTAGATGAGACTTCCAAGATGGAGAAATTTCGGAGGGAGAAATACTTGGGTGTTTTAAGGTGAGAATCCACTAGAGTGAGAGTGATGATCAGATTCCAGACAACGCTCAACAAAAAGGTAAGTAACAAAAAGATCAAAAGCAGAACTTGTAGATTTGGATCATCTGTAAGTCCTCCCAGGATAAATGTTTTTATTGTTGTGTGATTTTTCATCACCAATTCCTGACTGTGACCTGGTCTGTGCGTAAAAATAAGAGAGACATTAGAGACTGTCAGCAGCGGAGTGAGGTGAAAATGTTGGCTAACCTAAGGTTTAATTTCCTTAGTTACCTGTTAGTGAAGAGCGCTTCCAGAGTGGTGATTGATTGCTAGATGAGCAGTAATTGGGGTCCCATTGCTGAGCTTCCCCGGAATGCTAGCCAGAGATCTCTTACTACAGATTCTTATTATTGCAAGTAATGTGGTTTTAACTCCCTACTAAAGAGACTCCTTGAGTAATAGTGCCAGGGAAATATCTGTGTTTGTGAACAGAAAAATAGAAAATATCAAGTATTTTCTAGTGTGATTCCCTGCTCCAATCTCTTAATTCAGACAATGCTCCCTGGAATATTCACTTCTGTGTTCTCAGTCACTAGAGCTTTCACATCTGTAGGGTGAGGAAAAATGTCAGGCTTTTCTGCCCTCCCGCCATCAGGATAGATGATGGATCCTTGAGGTCCTGAATGCATGCCTGATGGCGGACACCTGGAATAGGGTGTGGGCATAGGTAGATGAGATTCACCTGGGCTGAGACTGTGCTTTTAAGGGCGGCGTCACGGGGACGCCAGCAGCAGCAGAAGCCAAAGCAGAAGCCGAGAGAGAAGCTGAGAAGCAGAGAACACCAGAGAGCCCAGATAGAGTGAGGATTTGCTGGGGGCTGGGAGGCCTGCCAGCCTCCCGGCCCCCCAGCACCCCTGCCTGACATATGCCTGGTGAACCCCAATAAAAGACCTACAAAAAACCACTGAGGACTCTGACTCCTCCTTTACCCGGTCTGCATGGGATCAGAAAACCTGCCCTGTGTCCAGTTCTGCCTTTACAACATCATCTTCTGGGTTGTCTCAGGACACCCTTCTTTCATCATGTTGAATTACCTGAGAATACTTCCACAAGTTTATAAGAAATCTTTTATGCTCTCTTGGTTGGTCATTTTTTTTTTCTTTGAACTGCTCCAAAGGAACAGAAATGACAAAGCTAGCTAAAGGTCATTTTGGCTGATTTCTTAACTTTGAAGATAGAGCTTTGCGGGTCAGCGGCCATTAGGCTTGTTAGGAACAAAGTCTAAAAAAGAACTCAAGTTCTCTAGCTCTTATTTCCATGTTTCCTACCCCACTCCTGCCCTATATCATTAAGAGAGAGTCTCAGGAATTCTTTTCTTGGGTTTCTTGATTTCCACTCACCCATTAGGAAGTGTGCCCCTTCTGATGTGTTTCTTTGTCTTCCAAGGATACCTCGTCCATTCCAGCTCTTTCCTCAGTCTCTAAATAACTACTTTTGGGAAAATTGACCATCAATGCTATAGGAGATCCGGAAAATAAATTCACCTAATGTAGAAACTGATAATCATGTTTATGCTACTCACCCCAGGCATATTTATGTTTTAAATTGAATAATACATCTGTAATGAGGAATTTCCTGGGATTAGAATAGGTTTTTTTTTTTTTGGGGGGGGGAGAGGGAGATACCAGGACAAAGCATCCCCTTCTCACTGTATTCAACTTAATTCACATGCATGGTAACATCAGTAGATACAGCCAGTATTTGAAAGGCTTCCTCTTTGCCTTCCACAGCCATATCAGACTTCAGAAAGCAGTGTACACAATAATCTCCAGAAAGTACAGTAGAAACATTTCTGTGAATGAATTGGTTTAAAAGAAAGACTATAGTTATCTTTATTGATTTTGAAGTTCCTTCTACTCATTCCTGAAAAACAGACATTTTGAAATGAGAAAGAAATATATGGAGTGTACACTTTTCAAACTTTGGTGAAGAAACTTGACCCTTGTGCAACTGGGGGGTGAGATATCAAAGTATTCACAAGAAGTGAGAAATAGTTTCTGAGCATTTATAATCCATACCATGAGAATGCTGTATGACCAGAAATACAAATTTATTTATTTGTAGTTCCCTTGATGACATTGAGAATTTTGGGAATCTTATCTCTAGAACACGCCTTTATTAAAGAAATCATTATGAATAAAAGAAACTTAAAAGAAGGAGAAATAAGTAGCTCGATTGGGCAGTTTGGATTAGAAGAGAAAGATTAATAAACCTACGGAATAGGGAGAAACTATTTCTTTGGCAAATTCATGAATGGCATCCATGAGTTGTTCAGATATAAATTTAATTGATCTTAACCTCAAAAATATCAATAATCTCTTACTTCTTTGTGAGAAATGCAATTTGTTTTACTGTGTTTTTGAAGGCATCTTTCACTTGCTTGTTTCGAAGTGTATAAATGAATGGGTTAAGCAAAGGGGCAACTGAAGTAGTGAGGATGGACACCACTTTATTCATGGCCACACCTTCCTTTGCTGAAGGTTTGATGTAAATGAAGATGCAGCTCCCGTAGCTGATGGAGACCACAATCATGTGGGAGGAGCAAGTGGAAAAGGCCTTTTTCCTCTGTTGGGCTGATGGGAATCTTAGAATGGTCTTGACAATATATGTGTAGGAGAGGACCACACACACTAAGGTAACAATGAGTGTTAAAATTGCAAAACTCAAAACAATTTTCTCTATTAACACTGTGTCTGAGCAGGTTATCTGTAAGATAGGAGTTGCATCACAGCCAAAATGATCAATCACATTGGAGTCACAGAATTCCAGCTGGAGGCCGACGCTAAGAGGAGGGAGGATGATCAGCAGGCCAGCAACCCAGCAGCAGAGGACGAGCATCGTGCAGATCCTGCTGCTCATGATGGTGGTGTAGTGCAGGGGTTTACAGATGGCCACGTAGCGGTCGTAGGACATGGCAGCCAGGAGAAAAAATTCTGTTGCTCCAAAGAGGACAACAAAAAATAATTGGGTGGCACAAGCATTATAGGTGATGGTATTGTCACCAGTTGTCAGAGTATACAGGAATCTGGGAATGCAGACAGTGGTGAATGACACTTCTAAGAAAGAGAAATTTCGGAGGAAAAAATACATGGGAGTTTTAAGATGGGAATCCAAAAGTGTGAGGGCGATAATGATGATGTTTCCAGCCACACTCAACATGTAAGTGAGAAACAAAAGTATAAATATCACAACTTGTAGATTCGGGTCGTCTGTCAATCCCAGCAGGATGAATGTTGTGATTACTGTGTGATTTGTCATCATGGCCTTGAGCTGGCGACGGGGATGTGGTCTGTAGAAGGAAGTGTGATAAGAAGCAAGCGTTAGGACCTGAATGGAAACACGACAGCCAGGCAGATCACATGCACCTTCTTTTACTTAATAATCAATTTTCAGTGTAGCAGTGCTTTTGACATTGAATTAGGAGACACCTGTAGGAAATATCGAATAAGCTTCTTATGTTTATAATTCTGTGATTACAAAGTGCATTTCCAAAGATGTCAAATAAAAGCAAAACAAAACATAGTTCATATGTTGCACAGGCAGTTTCTCAACAATATTGTTTAGTGTACATCTTTCATTTGTCTTTATCCTGGAAGGAACGTCATTTTTGAAGTTTTTCTCCTACCCTCACCTTTTGATGCTTTTGGAGACCATAAAACCAGGAAGAATATGTTAATAGGCATTTTTGTATGTTTTAAAATGAAACTTTTTTGGGAGCAATTTTAGGAACATAGCAAATATCACAGGAAATTGCAGAGATTTCGCACATGTATCCTGTCTTACCCATGTGCAGCTTCCCCCAGAATCAGTAAACCTTACTAGAGTAGCATATTTCTTGAATGATGGACCTACACTGACAGAGCAAAGGCCATCGCTTACAATGTGGTTCACTCGGTGTTGCACAGTCGGGGTGTGGACACATAGGTCATGTTGTTTATCTGATGTTATTTTTAATTTTAACAACAGCACATTGATTTGGAAGTGTAAGTTCTGCTCTTTGTACTTTAGATTTTTCTCTAAATAGGGAGATCAAATGTTTAAGATACAAAGACACATCTTTTTTTTTTTTTTCATCCAATATCAGCAAAGAAAGTACTTGTAAGTCAGTTTTGGGGCTGCTTAGGCATAGGGTTTTCTGAAGTGGCAAAAAGAAAATTTTTTCTGTGATCTGAATGTAACCCAAACTTAAGAAAATAACATTTGCGGGCCTCCCTAGTGGTGCAGAGGGTTGAGTGCAGTGCTGTGAAGCTGTTCGCTGCCACCCACATGGTGGGGCAGACCTCTCCTGTCTCGCCCGCTGCTCCACTCAGGAGTGTCTTCGGTTTGTCTGCCTGTTTTGCTCCCCACTCTGTCTCTGGTGAATCCTCTCACCCTCCTGCACCTCTGGCCTGTACCCCAGTTCTTGTATAAATAAATAAATCTTAAAAAAAGTAACATTTGCTTTTTTTTGCCAGTCTGACCAAACTTGGGGTCATCACAGCTCTCACTCAATCAATCGTTAGAATCTGTCTCAGATTAGATCCTTGTAACCTCCTTTTTGAACAATTTCAGCTCTTTCCCTCCTCACATAACTTTCCCCTACTAATTTGCCAACCAGTCCCCTAACCCTGATGCTTATGTTCTGTGAATTTTGATATATGAAACTTTCCCAAGCCTTATCCAGCCACAACTGGACAGAAAAATCAACAATATGTAAAAAAATTGTAAAATACCCTACCTTTCTCACTGACATTTACTGCAATCCATTTCAGCATTCCCCTACATTCTGATTTATGTTTTTCCAGAAACCCTATTACCAAAGAGCTTAGAAGATTCCTTCATGTCAAAACTCACCCTCCTCAAGATTCATATTTCAAGCAGCCACTCTCAGGTATCCATCCTGTAAAAGGAGATCTGGTAAATACCTTTGTAGGCCATATATGTGCTTATATATATATCTATATATATATATATTTATCAGGGGATATTGACAAATGAGCAAAATACAGACAAAACTCAAGAATTATAGGGAAATCCTATACACTTCTGCGGGAGAGGACAGCTAATTTCTTTTGTGTTTTAACAGTTGCCTCAACTAATACCCAATATGTTAGGAGGGAATCAAAATAACTAGGCTGCTCTTTTTTTGCTCAGGTAAATAATCTATATTTATTCATTCAAATAAATCATACCTATCATTTACAGAACATAATATAAGAGACTAGAAATTAAATTATGAATAGGTTGCTTATTCAAAGAAATTTCAGGCTACCTGTGGGAGATAATATTTCCATCTTGTGCATACTCAGAGACATGCTAACACAAGATAACAGTGGAAATACAACCTTGAATTTGGAGTGATAACTATGCCTTGTGTGTTCCTTCCAACAGCTGTATAGGTAGCTTATTCATATTTTCTTGTTTACTCAGTTTCTATAGATTCATTCTTTGTTGGCACCATCTGTCATCTTGAGTTATCAAGGTTCTGGGTTCACAGGGGTGATTTCAGAGCAGGGAAGCCCCTCTCTTAGCTCATGGGAGGGATCACCATATTCTTGCCAGAGGAAGACTCTAATACATCAAAATGAACAACAGGCCAATTTCATTTCTGCACCCCAAATTTACCTCCCCCTTTTCCTTCCTCTCTCTCGCACTGTAGAATTCAAATCCTGTACTACCATCGACACTGTTACCCCAGCTCTTCCTTTCCTACCAAGGTCTAGGACCTGAAATCATTCTCTGCTTCTCTTAAAGCTCTTATTTTTTACATTGATAGGAAAGACGGGTGAACTCAATCATATTAGTATTTATTGCCTATTAATTTAATGTTAAAAATGTCTAATATAATATGTGTTAGCTTTCAGGGACATCTCGTTTTAGTTGATGAAGCTGGTTAAATCGACACTACGTCTGTTACCACATGAAGCTGCGGTGGCAGATCCTCTGTACATTAAACTGCTTTGTCTTGGCCTCTCCTATCAGGCGTGCCGACATTCTGCATTACACGAGGGACGTTTCCCTGGGAGAGTGAAGCTATTTATTTATTAACAGCTTAGATCAATTAAAGCTTGAAACAGTTTCATCAAATCAATAATTTTACCACCTTCCTTTCAAGAAATAGTTTCAAGTAAAGTTAACTTAGGCAAAACTCCCTGCTCTCACTGGCACTGGGAGCTAGACGGTGAGATTTACTGCTGCCCTTTATTAGCTCCCTACTTAGTGCATTAAAAAGTATGTTTGGAACAAACCTCTTTTGTTCTTCACTGGGGTCAGAGACTATCTATGGACTGAAAAGTTGAAATTCAGAAAGAGAGTCTTTTTGACTCCCTCCACCTCCAGAAGTGGAGGTAATTTATAAGACTGATATTAATTGATTTTTATGATACTAGTGGATATTGGGTGGTGGTGTCTTTTCCATTGTCCTTTATTTTTTGTCTCTTTAGAAGAAACACCTCCTTAACTGATGATTGTGACTGGTTCTTTCCAGGGTTAAAATGACCATGGCAGGAAATTCTAATTTCATATTCATTTGCAATCACCACATATCAGAAATGCCTGTTGATATATTTCTGCAGTGTCAACTATAATGAATAGAAATCCAGATTTTAAAACTGACTGTTCTTACTCCTGTCTATGTTTATAGAGTATGAATATGTCATGACAATTACATACTTACTTTTTAAAAAAATTTTTTTTTTCATACTTACTTTTCTGACAGTTCTTTATCAGTGGCCCTTGATGGAAGGACAGTTTGAGGGGTGTTAAGTGGGTGAAGAGGTTTCTGTATACTCAGGACTCGCTCTTACATGCTACCCATCAACACCTGATCTTCCCCTCTATATAGGCTTACACACATGCATGTGTACACATATACGGACTTGCACACACACACACACACACACACACACACACACAAACACGCTTTCAGAGGCAAGTCTGACAACCGAGTTCTCCTAGATTGTCACTGCCCCTACTGTAATGATCCCAGCCCGGTCTCCACGTCCTCCACCAAGTCTAAAATAACCTCTGACACTAGATTTTTCAGTTATTTTGTTAGTTCCAAGGAAAAAGGGAGTGGTTAGAGATAAGGGATGTTCCTCTTTAGTTCCTTGGGCAGGGAAGCAGGCTCCCTGCAAATTTTATAACAGCAGCATTTCTTTTATATGTTTAATCTGCTATCAGTGTACAGGGAACATCGAGTGAACAACAAAGTAGTCCTTGGTGATTCAGCTGCAAAAGTTACTAATGAGTTGGCAGCAGTCCAACCAACACGCAAATACACAGGGAGCACTGGGAACAATGTCTTCAGGGACTGGGGTGGGGGGGTAGGGAAGTAGAGGGGGTGGTCTGGTGTCTCCAAATGATGCTTGAGTTTCTTTGTTGAGTGCTTTCTCTCTATTCTGATTGCAGAATAGATACTCTGTTTTATTTTATGCACATTGTTCATTACTTCTCTCAAAGGGAAAAGAAATAACTACCTACCTTACAGTGAAACAAACTGAGAAGTGACTGAGTAGGATGCCCCACAGGATTGATACAGATTTTAAAGGAAAGCTTTATTTTCAGAAATCATTTTATTATTTTTTATGGAGGCAGTGTTGGTTTACAACATTGTATTGATGGAAAGGTATAGGACCACACCCTTTGTGTGCATGTTACACACCAAATGCACCCCCAGGATGCCACAGTCCTCTGCCATGTCCACAGTGTCCCCTCCCTCTGCTCATATCTCCCATCTCAGTTCTGCAGACATATTTCTAGGGCTTGTTAATGATTATGTTTTATTTGGCCCTTTGTTTGTTTCTCTGTATTCCACAGGTTAGTGAAACCACTGGTGTTTGTCTTCTACGTCTGACTTATTTTATTTAGCATCATCCTCCCCCAGTCCTGTCTGTGTGTCACAGAAGTCGAGAGTTTCTTTTTCACAGCAGAGTAGTTTTCATTGTGTTTATAAACCATATCACCCTAATCCACCCATCTGTCTTTAGGCTCATAGCTTGGCTATTGTCAATAGTGCTGCAATGAATAGAGGAGGGCATGCATATATTTCCTATTAGTGTTTTTGCATTCTTTGGGTAGACAAAGAATAGGTAGACAAAGGTCCTGCGCAAACGCCATACTATTGTCATAGAGGACTGGACCAGTCCACATTCCCACCAATGTGTATGAGACAGCTTTTGTCCACATCCTTGTTAACACTTGATACTATCCTTGTTTTTTTTTAACTTATACACATTTATTTCAAATGAGTGACAAATTTTTATTACTTTAATAAATTAGGATATTTCTAATTGGTTACTCATATATTTTTTCACAGAAAACACATAGCCTCTCAAGGAAATAGTATATCTAGACAGTTTTTTTATTTCAATATTTTATTTTATATAATCCTTACATCTTTTTTCATCTTTGCACAATGTATGCATTTTCATTTTGGTTATATTCCCCATATACTTGCACCTCCCCCCTTATTTTGACTCTAGTTCTTCCTTGCCTTGCCCCTCCCCCCACCCATAGTGTGTCTCTGCTTTATAGTTACTTGTTGATTTTGATTTTCACTTTGTATTGATTAGTCTTTTTCCTGGTCTCTTATTTAGGTTTGCTAAATTCCTGCTATGAGTGAGACCATCTGGTATTTTTCTTTTTCTTTCTGACTTATTTTGCTGAGCATGATCCCTTCTAGCTCCATCCATGTTGCTTTTGACTTGCATTTCCCTGACAATAAGTGATGAGGAGCTTTTTTTCATGAGCCTTTTGGCCATTGGTATGTCTTCTTTGGAGGAGTGTCTGTCTGTCTCTTCGGCTCGTCTTTTGAGCAGGTTATTTGTTTTTGTTGAGTTGCATGAGTTCTTTGCAGATCTTGGATACCAGCCCATGTCAGGTGTGTGGTGTGTCCACACTTACTCCCATTGGGTGCGGTATCTTCATTTTAGTGATAGTTTCTTTTGCCGTGCATAGGCTTCTTAGTTTGATGTGGTCCAAATTGCCAATATCCTTTTTGATCAAGGTTGGTCTGAGCCCAATAGGTAATTAAACCACTTTTTGTTAATTTGGCAACCGAGCGTTTTCTATCCCATTCACTAGGAAAAAATGACCTGGCTCCAGTATATTTTTCTTATTTTGTTATAGCTTTATGTTGCCCAGTGAACTTGAGTAGAGCTTTTTCTTTGACTATCTCTGCTGGCATTTCTGGATGGTTTCATTATTTTTTTTATGATTTCTTTATTTTTTTATTTCTTTATTTTTTTATTTATTTATTTATTTATTTATTTATTCATTTGTTTGTTTTTTTGTTTATACATGCACTGGGTACAGTCAGAAGCACGGGAGGGTGAGAGAATTCACCAGAGCCAGAGCGGGGAGCAGAGCAGGCAGAAGGACCGAAGTACACTGCTGAGGGGAGCAGCGGGCGGCAGGAGAGGTCTGCGCGCCATGTGGGACCCTCCTCCGGTGGCCAGGGAGCAGCCAGGGATCGAACCGGCGCTGCAGAGGCTGCTGGCAGCTTCGCAACCCAGCGCTCAACCGCTGCGCCACCGGGGAGGCCTGATTTCTTTATTTTTAATTATTTTTTTCTTACATCATTGTAGCTACTATATCACCCATGAGCCATCACCCTATTCCCTTGTGTGCTTCCCTCCTCTGTTTTGACCCCCCTCCCTCCTTTCCTCTCCCTTTCTGTGTGCCTCAGATCTATGGTCAGCTTGCTAGTTTTACTTTTTCTTGACATTTTGTTGGACAGGCTCATTCTTTTTATTTATTTATTTATTTTTAAAGATTTATTTTTTATTTATACAAGTGCTGGGGTACAGGCCAGATGCATGAGAAAGTGAGAGGATTCACCCGACACAGAGCAGGAACAGAACAGGCAGACTGACGAAACACACTGCTGAGG